GATTTCGGAGACCCTGTTAAAGTGAAAGCAATTCTTAGTATGAAGAAACCTGAGGATGTAGCTGCAGTGCAAAGGCTGATGGGTATGGTCAAGTACCTCTCAAAATTCCTTAGTGACCTCTCTCAGATTTGTGAGCCTATCAGACGTCTAACCCATAAAGATGTACCATGGTTTTGGACAAAAGAACAGGATGTTGCCTTTGACAAGATCAAGGAAGCAGTTACCACTGCCCCAGTCCTCAAGTACTTTGATTCGAGCAAGCCTACAGAAGGAAGTGGAGATGCTTCTTCACAAGGACTTGGTTTTGTACTCACACAGGAAGACCACCCTGTCACTTATGCAAGCCGAGCTCTGACACAGGCTGAGCAACGTTACTCACAAATTGAAAAAGAGCTCTTGGCTCAAGTGTTTGGTTTAGAACACAACCACCAGTACGTTTATGGCAGAAGAGTTATTCTTTATACGGATCACAAGCCCTTGGTGTCCATCTCAAGTAAGCCGTTAGCATCTGCACCAAAACGTCTACAGAGACTTCTCCTCCGTTTACAGCAGTACGACGCAGAAATCAGATACAGACCCGGAAGAGAGATGTATCTCGCCGATACCCTATCAAGAGCCTATCTAAGCCTAAGTCCTACTGACACACAGAGATCAGAGACCGAGAAAGAAGTAGAAAGTATTCATGCTGTAGACTATCTAGCTATCTCCGAGCAGCAGCTGAGTGAAATCAAGCAAGAAACGGCTAAAGATCCAACTCTTCAGACCCTCAAAAACGTGATCCTAAGAGGATGGCCTGAAAACAGCAGCTCAGTACCAAAGGAAGTCTCCGAGTACTTCAATGTTAGAGACGAACTTGCCGTACAAGACGGAATCATCTTTAAAGGCCAAAGATGTGTTGTCCCTAAGACCTTGAGACAGAAAGTTAAAGAGAAAATCCACCGTGCTCATATCGGAATACAAGGATGCCAGACTTAACATGTGCTCGCGATCTTGTACTCGAGTCTTCAGTGAACCGACTTGGATTAAAAGTATCGTTTGTTTACGCCCACAAGACACGTTTGTTGCAGTACAAAAACACACAACGTTACATTAAGGAAAAGACTAACATGAAAACTGCCTGAAACCAGTCTAGACCTCTCAGTTGTCCATGTCTAGATTCATATTAACAGAGACTAATAAATTATTCACTACAAAGTTACAAAATCATCTCTGCTGACTTCTTTTGGTGTAGCAATAAAGAATCTGTGAAATTTATATGCTGTGCTCTCGTGTGTCACAAAAGGTAGAGCAAGCCCAGCCCACAAAGATACTCTTTTACTGCACAAATTTAAAAACAGCATATAAAAACCATACCAAATGTCTTGGGACCAAATGTATCCATTAACATGAATCCCAGCTGTACTAATCCCTGAGTGACATGATCCCATCCAAACAAACTGCAGGGCATAAAAACCATTATACTTAGATATCAAAGGGCAGAATGACTGGAATGCTAAAAATGTATGGCAGTAAAAGTTACACACATCACCACAAAATGCAAAACACATTTTTAAAGGATTCATTTTTTTTGTTTAAATTATCTAAAGTTGAATCAGTTTTATAAATTTGGAGTTTCTAAATGAATACAGCTGCAAAATTGTTGTATCTTCTTGCCAAAAAATTGTAGGTAAACCTACTAAAAGCACTTAATCTTTTTTGCTGGTTTGCAGTGGGCAATCCTAAGTTGGCAGTACTGGTCCATTTTTCCCACACTGGTAGCCAATAAGAGTACAGGATTTGCTTCATATTGGTGGCCTTTATAACTAGCCATGTAATAAATAATTTTATAACATCATAAGTTATATTTAATTTTTAACAAAATTTTTTACCTGTTCTGAACTGTCTCTAGTATTTGATCCTCAACTGAAGAGCATGCTGGGATATTTTCTTGGAAGAAAAAAATCATATAAATCATTAGAAAGAATTGCATCAAAGCATTTGATAGACTAAGATGAGTTAGAAAAATTGAACAGACTTACTGAAAGTGAAATTTTACAACTGAACAATTATTTTCATCTGTTTTGTGAGCAGCATAAAAGTTAAGTGACAATTAAAAAGTAATTCTCATGCTCGGAAGGGTTAGACTGCTGCTATGGTACTATCTCTTGTAGTATGGTATCCCTGTGTATTATGTGTACGTATGTCACGTGACTTGCACATGGAGAGAGATCTGCCATCTTGATTAAAAGAAGACCTGTCATTCTGTTGACATTTATATTTGTCTTGTCCTGCTTCTTCCTATAATATTACATCTCTGGCCTGATGAAAATTTTTACTGGCTTGTTAAAGCTCACAAAATGTTTATAAAACTGATAGCAGCAATAAACAGAAGAGAAAACAAATTGCAGCTGAACAATTTTTCAAGAGATGTCCAACCTCAACACACAGTGTTATCTCTTTCACTTATTTTCTCATGTTCATTCCAATTTTTCCTTTTTCTTTCAAAACTGCCTCTTTCAAGTTTTTACAGGGCACTACCCAAGTTAGCCAGTTTTGATTGACATAGAATGATGTAGCTCTTAGAGTTCATTGACATTAAAAAAAATTACCACAATCCACTGTCGCTGTCCACAGATAATTCAGATTACCTCTAGCCCATTTGGATTGCTTTCTCCTGTCTTCGTCTTTGAAACTTCTTGACACTGCAGCCTTCAGGAAGTCAAATATCTGACAGATTGATTAAAAAAAATAGTTATGGCACAACAGCTTCAAATAACCAAAAAAAAATTGTGGTGTGAATCCCTTGGGAAGGATTAAAAGCCCAGCCACTGCTGAATTCACAGTTTCATGTTCTTCCAGCACAGGACAGAATTATAAGAAGGAAATAATTGGTATAGGTAACTAAATTCATTTAATTTATTGTAAGCATTGACAAGTGGATAAGATGATAATTACCATGAACTAATTCAGAAGAACATTTACTAGTATGGAATGCAACTGAAAGATGAAAAGAAATTTATATGTACTTTAGGGTCACCTTATGGATTTTTCAAATCAAGACTTACTGTTTCTTCAAATCTATGGATCTGTGCAATGGACAGAGCTAATGCTACATTGAAAGGTGTCAGAATCATCCCTGGAGAACTTTGATGAACCTGCAGAATAGATCATGTAATGAGCACTTCTTCTTTCATGTAGTGGTTTACTCCATAATTACAAGTACGATTTTATAGCAGATATTTGTGGTCACTAAATCAATGCTTATGTTTGATCAGGGCTTGACACAAACTTTTCAACTTACAAGTCATGTGGCTATAGTGACATCTTACATGTAACAACAATTTCAGTTTGTTACTAACCAAACTGCTCAGTGGAAATCGAAAACCTGACCAGCCAAAACTGAATTTCTACTAGTCTGTGGCTAGTTGGCTACAGTTAGAGTTCAGCCCCATTGATGTTGTGGTTCATGGGGTTATGACATGCGTACAGAACTGGGACTTTTGAAATTAAATTGTAAATAATATCAGGTTAGTTTCTTGACAATTTAACCCAATCTCAAACAAAAGGTTAGGAATAAGTGTCTGAAGGAATGTCCCTAATGCAAATTTTAAGAACAACTCTTTAGTATCTGTAAGTACATAAAAACAACCAAGAGTTTTGTTAAGGTTAACACCCGAGATGGATTCCTCATCAGAGTCAAGGGCAAAAAATTGAGATCAACAGCACATTTGAGTCTGATCTGGGTCCAAGAATATAACAATCAACAACTAGCACCATTTAAAAGATCTCAGAAAACAATTAAAACAAAAATGACAAAGACATTAAAGGTGATAAACCTTCATAGAGCTCAGTTTCCAAACTACTCAATACCTTTAAATATTTGATAAACTCCTTCCCTAAGTCTTGATCCTGTTTCACAGCAAACGTAATATGAAGGATTACTGTTCCCTCCATATGTCTCAGTTGATCCTTGGACACAGTCTGCACCTCTGAGCTACAAAACCAAACATACGGGGAATATCAATGGACAGGAAAAAACTACTCATTAGTTGAGAATTGGTAATTTTTTAAGTGTTTAAGGTTAGGGTTATGATTAGCCTTAGACTGGACTCCCAACCAGATTGGCCTTAGACACCCACACAATGGCACTCTAATGCCTCAATAGAGTTTCTCCCTGAACTCGCCACTGTTACACAAAAGATGGCCCCCTTCTGCCAAGATGGGGACTTTTGAAGGAGAAGGTCATCTGAAACAATATGGATATAATTATTGAGACACCCTCTCTAAATTTTCTTCCTTCTTTTTTTTCCTGAATCTTTTATGATATTCCTCGTTAGACTATCAATGGATCAATATTTCCAACCCCAATTGAGGAGATATTTTTTGAAGAGGGGAGCCTCATCCAACCTACAGTTTAGAGACAGCAACCCACAGGTACCCCTGTCCCTAGAAGTCAACCATATCTTCTACTTCATAAAGCATTAGCTTTAAGAGCTGCATCTTAAACTTAAAAAATCTTTTTAACCCCCCCCCCCCCCGGAAAAAAAAACAGCATACCTATCCTCTTTGTCCTCCTTGCGACATGTTTCATCTAAGTCATTAAAAAATGATGTTATTCCTTCTAAAAGAAGTTGTTTGTGACCCTACAAAAATACAGATAAATTGCTATTAATAACTAGGCCTGTTAACAGAAAAATGTTTGATGTAAATAAGACTGAATGAATAGAGAAACACCTTTGTTGAAAGCAGCAGTAACTGATACACCAGTGGAGGGAGTTCTTGAAGGTCAAGGTCCTTCATTGCTCTAGAAATGAAAGAACAAAAAAGAAGTTTGCAATACAGCAATATTGTGGAGAAGTTTGATGTTTTATTTTTCAAACACTTTCATATAACTGAGATCATAGTAAAGAAGCACATACTCACCCTCCTTTAAAGTCCTGGTGTGCCCTTTCTATACACATATACTACAATACTTTTAGAATAATAATAATTATTTAGCTCATTTGGCATTCACAAGTAAAAGAATTTCCGTTATAAGTATTTTAATTAGCATTAGAAAATAGGATAACAACAACATGGTTGTACAAGGCTAAGAATATGAAAAAGATGAGAATGAATTGGCTTTAGTTCTCACCTTATTATCTTCTCCATCACAAAGTGCAGTTCATCTGATGTCATTGGCACATCCCTAAAACACACAAACACTTGATCTATTAGACAAATAATGACTAAAACATTTTGTTCTACAAGTATCATCACAACCTGTTTCACTAACTTACCATACAAAAATTATCTTATTTTTAATTAATTATTGCCATTTTTTCTACTTTATCAATGATAACCTCATATTAGGTTTGCTTAATGTATCACATCTGGGATATCAACCACCTCTGTATATCATTAGGCCATTTGACAGTTGCTTGCTTGGTTGCCAAACCTTTGAACAGGAGTGACATTTAAGGATGACCTTGTTGTGAAAAAAATGTTGCTGTTCTTCAAATGTAAATACTTTGTTTTATTACATCGCTCACAGCACCTGTAGCCAAGATGAAGCACATCCTGTGTTCTGATTGGCTACCCAAGTGGGTAAGATAAACCCATCTTGCCCACCCGGGATTACCTGCATTAATCCCACCCATGAAAAAAATAAATTAGAACTACATTCGCAATTCATGGACAATTTCGGCTATGGAAACGCAAAAAGCAGCAGAAGATAGTCAAAACAAAGAAAACAGAAATGACTATTGAGAGTTTGCTGTGCTACAAACACAGTTGGCTTTCCTTCCCAGCTCTTGAAGTAAATAAGTCATTCTTAATTCTTAATAAAGCAAAATTTTTTAGCAATATAATAAATCCTTTATTAACCAAGCATGTTCGGTCAAGATGACTGGATATTAGCCCTGGTCTCTTTTTGCATTTTTATGGACCTCTACTTTGTCTCGGTCTATAAAAATATAAAAAAAAATAACTTGGCCAATATCCGAGAAGGCTTTCGATAGCATGGACTGCCACACCCTCTAGAAGATGCTACATCACCATGGAGTGCCAACCAAGCTGGTCAGCCTGATTAAGAAATCCTACGAAGGAATGACATGCCAAGTGGTCTGTGGAGGTCAAATGACAGACAGCTTCGGCGTGAAGACCAGAGTCAGACAAGGCTGCCTTTTGTCGCCTTTCCTTTTCCTCCTGGCGATCAACTGGATCATGAAGACATCAACAGCCAACAGAAGAAACAGGATCCAGTGGACACTGTTCAATCAGCTAGAGGACCTAGACTTTGCTGATGACCTGGCCCTGCTTTCCCACAGCCACAAGCAGATGGAGGATAAGACAACAGAGCTGGCAGCCACCTCATCACAAGTCAATCTCAAGATTCATGAAGGCAAGACCAACATCCTCAAGATCAATACAGCAAGCGAAGACCCAGTCACACTATGTGGGAGCGAGCTGAAAAAGGTGGAGGCCTTTACATACTTGAGCAGCATCATTGACAGACAGGGCGGCACAGACGCAGACATCAGAGCAAGAATCAGCAAGGCGAAGGCAGCATACTTGCAGCTGAAGAACTTCTGGAGCTCCAAAGTGGTATAGACTCACACAAAGATCAGGCTGTTCCACTCCAACATCAAGTCAGTACTTCTGTAAGGAGCGGAGACATGGAGGACCACGAAGACCACCACCAGGAAAGTGCAGACCTTCATCAACAGCTGCCTGACAAGGATCCCCCAGATACGCTGGCCCAGCACCATCAGCAATGCAGACCTGTGACAGTGTGCCAACCAGCCGACAGCTGACGAGGAGATCTGGCGTAGAAGATAGGATGGATCGGACACACCCTGAGGAAGCCAGCCAACAACATCACAAGGCAGGTGCTGGAGTGGAGTCCCCAGGAAAAGCGAATTGGGAAGGCCAAGAAACACCTGGCGTCATGACCTTGACACCAACATCAAGAAGATGAGAAAGACCTGGAGACAACTGAAAGAGCAGCCCAGGACAGAGCACTCTGGCGGAATTACTTATAGCCCATAAGTAATTCCGTCTTACTTATAAGCGATGGGCTTATAAGTAAGAAAGTAAGCAATATCCATACATCTCGATCTCATGCTTGTTTAATAAAGCATATATCATACTAACTAGATGCTGGTCTCTATCACAATAAGGCCACCTTCAGTCTCACTCCAAATCAAAGACTTGGCAACTAATTACACAACTGTAGAATGGCCTATTATTGAGAGCTTAACAATAATTCTTACATTGCTAGATGAGTTCAATTTTAAATTAAAAGCAAAACACAAAGCAAACAGTACTCAAGATTTAATCTTTGATGTGTGTTATGATATGCGATTTGTCAACACCTCGCCGTATTTTGGTCATCGATCTGCTTAATTAAATAAGCAGTGATGTTACTGCTCAAAAGATTTGCCACCCACATGGCTTGTTGAGTGTTTTTTTTACGATACAGTACACAAACCAATATACAAATGCAACAAGGAAGTAAGAATCTCAATTAACCTGAAAACAGCAGCCAGATGAATAGCACATTGTGGGTTCCATCTGAAATAGGAGACCAAAAGAGCAGAAAATTAAGAAACAAAACAGCCACTCAAGTAAACAGGTGTGGTTTCAGTCAAAGGAGCATATTCTGGTTCCAATAATTACTTGGGCTTCCTAAGGAAAAGCCCAAGTTTATATCATTGTTCAGTCAGTCTGTCCGTCTTCCAAAAAGGCACTTCATGTGACTTTTTGCACCAACAAGGCAAATGGGTTTAACCTGTAAAACTGTTCTTCATAAATTTTTTTATTTCTTGCTTTGTAGCTGTGTGCCTATCACATGCTTGGAACTTCTGATCAGTGCACAAAACTATGTGAATAATTATATCAAAAGTGGTTTGCATTGCAGTATCAAAATAATCTACCTACATCTACATCTAATTTGTATACTTGTCAAGTTGGAGAACCTAGAAAAAGTTGACCTTGTAGCACCCCCACCAAACAGAATGTTTGATATTAGCTTATGATAGCCTTATACCAAAAGATTGTCGTTACATAAGTCATAGTCGCAATTAACTTGTGGAGTCAGGGACTTGCTATTAGGGGCAGTGAAGTGCTTTTAGAGCCTCAATTATCCACTCCAGATTTTTCAATTATCCCAAATCTTTTCTCTGCTGCTATTTTTCAAGAACATTAATGAGTCACATTAAAGATCTGTAACAACATTTTTCCTATCAAACAAAACAGATGTATTAAAACAGTAATCTGCTTGAAAGAATGATAACTAAATTAGCAACAATAGAGGCTTTGACAGCTTGAAACAAACTGATTTACTCCTGCATATATGTTGTTGCAAATTCTGGCAATGATGATGATGCACATTAATTTGAGAATGTCCTCTAATTCTTGCATGGGGTTGATTTAATGATACCTCTTCAGTTAAATTTTTGGCTCATAAATATTTGTATTTTTAATTATCAAGACTCCTGATTATCCAATCTATTCAGCACAGTCCCCTCGTGTCTGGATAATCAAGGTTTGACTAAGTTCATATGTTCAGGAACTTTTTTTCTTACCCAACTTTTGTGACAGAGGACAGTCAAATAAGTTAACTACTCGTTGAATATCACTGCAAGATAATTTGCACTTTTATCAAAGAGTAGTTTACAAGTATGTTCTGTTTACACATGTTTTACAGCTTGCTTTGCTCCACTAACATGTATCCCTGCCACACAGGTAGTTCCATTCAAGCCTCAGACATACTTTACCTGCTAGAACACAAAGTATTCAGAAGATGTCTTTTATATTCCTGACCTGCCATTTCACCACCACAATCTACAACAACAAATAAAATTTAACTTGTCACAAAGGTCCAGGGAATTAATATAAGCAAAACACAACATGCTGTTAATTTGTTACTAAACAATTCATAGATGGGGTACCATAAATTAGTCCATAAAAACAGGAGGGCTCATACTCAGGGATAGATGTTGTGCCTAGGTTGTCTCTTTAAAAGATAACAAAATACTTTCACATCCATCCAGAAGATACCAGTTATTCATATCTAACCACATAAACAATGAAAAAATGTGTCTGATGTATCATGCACACATGGAAATACGCTTGCAGGTGAGAATATAGTTACACAATAACCTTTCTTAAAACTGTGATACAACATTAAAGTCTGACCACAGCTTCTGTTTTACCACAAAAGTATGACATTTAGAGGATCAAGTGAAAACCAGTCTTCTAAACTTTAACCTTGAAATAAGTATGACATGGTCAAAAATAACTTTCCAGATGGTGATACATGATAGCAATTAAATTTGGTTTTAAGTCTTGATTCTTAGTAAATGGCACCAAAATAATTAAAACTGTACCTCCTGGCATTGGAATGACATCCTTGGCTGCTATGGCAGAGAGCACCTTAGGAAATAGCTCCAAAGGTCTGTGCAGGATGAGTACAAAGATGTCAATAGTTAAATCCCTATTTGTAGCTTAATTAACAAAACAAAAAAGAAGTGGAAACACAAAAGTAGTCTGTTACCATTATAAGAGCTATTAACTTATCAATGTCACAAAAGCCTAAATTCAGTAATCTAAAATATTGCATAAAATTAATTTACATTAACTACAACTGGCTCTCGGGAATGAACCCTATAATCTCCTGGGTCTTATCCCCATGTCTGGTGAGGTTTGTTGTTGACATGGTTGAAGGCCCAGGGAGATATATGCCTAAATTATTAACCTTGGGATTCATGGTGGAAGAAACGATTAGTCTGTTTAAATGGGCTATCAGCACTATATTTGATACAAAATGCATTCCCAAAACCAGTTCATTCAAATGATATATTTTGCTGCTTTGTTTTGTTTTCATTGTTGTTATTGTTTTGTTTTTGTAATATTTTCACCACCCATTGAATATCAATGGACAAAAATAAGCCACTTGTAAATGGAGACCTGTGCACCCTTTTTTAAATGCAGTTAAATTTTCTTACTTTCCGTTGCTGAAGGAACCAGTCTTGATGGCATTTATGAATAAGTCAGCAAGTTCAGCGAGAATTTTTCCAGGAAATGCATCCAGCTAGAAAGCAAAAAACATGTTAAGTCTGTTCTCAAGCCAGGCTGCTCATCCAGCCCACATTCATCCTGGTTTCTTTAGCATGAAGCAACAAGACTTCACACCGAAAGCTGTAAGCTTGCATTGAAAGAAAAATTGCCAATCAGGAAATGCCTTTTTTGATGTGACTATGAATCCTTTATTTGTAGCAAAATAATTGAGTTTTCTCACATACAACTGGGAGCCATGCCAAGCTGACCATGCAGCCCAACCTTTATTATATCAATACGATGAACCATTAGGGTTACAACACGAACAAAACAGCTGGAAACTGAGCCTAGATACAGATAAGACTGACGTGCACAAATAACTGGAACTAAGGCACTACTTGAAATCCTATATCCCTAAAAACATATGGAGGGTGGGTGGGTAGGAAGGTCAGGCAATGGCCGAAGGCAACAAAACAACTGAACTGAACCTTGAAACGCCATGTGACCTGGAGACTCCACACACACTACAACCCATTCTCCCAGCTGCATGTGAGAAAAACATTTTCCGCTTCTTTCGTCCCTCAGCCAGCAGAAAACCACACTTAAAACTGATGCAGTAACAAAGGCACACCCAAGAATGTAACAGTGTTTTTCAAAACTATGTATAATATTCTGACCACCACTCTGCATGAACAATAATATTAGGGACTTTAAGCAGTCAGGACGGCAACGGCACCGAGGACATCGATTAAAAAATGAGTTTCTACTTTTAGTTAGAATTTCGAAAATGGCTGCATGTGTTTGCCGTCTCATTTGGCGGCAGACCTCAAACTCGACATAACACATAAAAGTAGCGTTCAGTTCGAAATGTAAATTAAAATAATTTGCCGCTGCGGTTTCGCTTCGCAGATGACACAAATTTTGGTGATTTCACGTTGTTGTTTTGCAAAAAACGGCTAAGAAATGTACAAAGTTTTAAAACGCACGAGCATGGTTTGCTTAAAGTCCCTATTAATAGATGAATTAGGCATATTAAAAATCTACTCTCCTCACCTCCATAAGTAAAAATCCAACAATCTCAGTGGCCATCTGATATTGATAGGTTTATACAGAGAAAACATTAAGTTAAATGGAGCATTGATGTCAAGTGTAATCTAACTTGCCACACAGTCCATGTTGCATGTGGAAACTGATATTGCATGAGTTGCAAAGCGTTAAGGGCGATATCAGTTTTCAAGTGCAATTTAACACAGAATTCATGAGTCAGATGATGAATTTTCCTTGAATACATTGAATTAAAATATGAGAAAAACAGAAAAATGCAATAACATTGTTTGCTTTAATCCTGAGCATAAAGCAAGAGATACAAAACAATATCACTAAACCTAATTTTCAACTTGCATTCCAGTACGCTAAATATCTTGCTTTGTTAACCATCAGAATACAAGATTTTATTCAATTATACAATTTTACAAAATATCCCACAATACCTTGTTACTTAGGTCACCTTCACTGAGTATTTGAATGGCATGTTTGAACACAAATGTACGTCTTTCTAAACCAATTTTAGTGTCACATGGTGAACCTTTGAATACAGCTTGAAGATAAGGAACTGGTTCACCCCTTCCCTCTAATGCTCTAGCTTCTAACAAGTCTACAACCTGTGGAATCAGCACAATAACCTATATAAATTGCACACCATAACATATACTATTGCTGTGCATTTATAGACTTATTTGAGACATTTGCAGATGTCATTCAGCCTTTTCATTGATAAGTCCTTCCAGGACACTCCTGCAAGAAAAATGCTTGTGCAGCTAGCACAGCTCATCCTGCCAAATGCAACACTTTACAATATAAACAAAACTATACTCGCAGAAGAAAACAAATTTGTGTCAACAACCAAAGCTTGAACCCTGATAGCTAAATTTGTACAGTCTGATGCTCAAACCATTGAAAAGATTTCTGTAGATACCCACACTACTGAAAGAGCTGAATGAGGTCTGCATGTGTTACAAATACATTGACTTGATGCGAAAGCATTGTTGATCAATAAAAGTAGATGTAGATGTAGAAATAGGCTTATGAATCAATCACAACAATATATGTTATGATAATTATCATACATAAGACTTCTATGAAAAAACCTGTGGTCAAGAGCATTCAATCAAAATACAATTTAGGGTGCAAAGTTAACAGGATAAATATAAATGCAACATCTGCAGTGGATACTGCATTTATTGTCTCTAACTTTTGTAAACTCAGAGAAGTGTCTTCTTTTGCAGCTTGTTTTAAAAGTGTGAAATAAAGCAACTACTGAACAGAGCTGAGTGCAATTCAAGCTGAAATGTTGATTGGAAGTATCTGGTTACTTATACTGAAAGGTAATCAATCTCTTGTTTCGCCATTGCTTTCTTTATCCAAGAACTGTATGTCTATTGAAAACACGGAGCTGTGTAGAAATTTCGCCAAACCATTATAAACTATAGCAAGTATATATCCTAGTTTAGTTTAGACAGGCAAGAGGCAAGCTGTTAGTATAACCAGCTGAATATGGCCTTAATACATAACCTGCGTTGTTCAGCTGTCACGAGAGAAATTCTTCAAAATCATATTCTACTATAAATGTACTTAGAAATACATTTCTATCAAAAAATGCATGTAAATTTAGTTCAAATGACCTTGACAATTTGAAAGTACTCAGGTTTTAGCCTGTAGACATCTCAAGCGAGCCGAGTGAAGGAACGACGAAAAGCTCACCTTTTGATGTTTCAGCGTTGATAGCACCTGCACAAGGGGTGTTAAATTATTTTCTTCGCAAAGACAAATTATCTTTTCATCCATTATTCAGAGACTCACAGAAGGACCGTTGTAAAACATAAATATAGCCAGTTTGCTATAAGTTTCTTTCCCTTCAAAGCAGCGTCGCTTCACTGAATTTGGCGCCAGAAACTTTATTTTTTTTTTTACATAGATAACGCAGTTTCTGATTGGTTCATTTTTCACTGTCGTTCTCGCTGCTGTAAATATTCACCAATCAAAAAAGGTTTAACAGAAACAACGTTCATCGACGATAAAATGGCGGACTTTCTCTCACGCGAACTGTGTTTTGTGCTTCTATTGACGTTTTCAGCGAGGTGTTTTTGCTTCAAACCAGTGATCATCGTCCATGGAATACTTGATCACGCGTCAGACATGAATGATCTTGCTTCGTTTATAACGCAAGCCCATCCCGGCACCAACATTACGTTGATAAAATTGTTTGAGGAATTAGACAGCTTCAAGCCAATGTGGATGCAGGTCTCAGCGATGTCTGAAAAAATTCGAGAAGCGATGCAAGAGGCTAAAGATGGAGTTCATATGATCGGCTTCTCCCAAGGTAATGACCTTTTCATCAACTTCTCAGTTTAATCCATGACAATTCTTGAGGTTACGCTGAAGATCAACCCTTATCAAAATATACATATTTGCTATAGCTATAAAATAAGTATTTTTACAATTGTCTAGAACACCCCTTATCTTTCAAGCGTCCACGTTAGGAAATTTAAAGGCACTAATGTACTCATAGGATACGCTCATAAAATACTAACGAATTCATTCAATATACAAATGTTTTGATCTCTTAGCAAGGACTTTCACTTTCACGGAAGTTTTTCAATTTCCGCCAGTTGAAAATGTAAATGAGGTAAATTAAGTAATCACAGTTTCTGTATCATTTCTTTTCCCGAGAAAGTTTTGGTTTTCGTTGGATAATATCCTTCTATCTGTAATATGATAATGAGGTAATTCGAATTTATTATTGCCGTCGTTCGACTTTGTTTATTTCTCGTGACAATCATATGATATCTTGGTGTTACGTAACGAAAGTAGAGATGGACAGAAATGCTTTCTTAGGTGGGAGGAGGGGGTGGGGGCCTGAACGAAGGCCGGTTTAAGAGAACAACTCTTTAATAGAGCCCTACTGTTAGAAAATATCGAGGGCAAGAGTTCCATATAACCCCATACATTAATTATGCATAGAGTGTTGCAAAGAAACCTTTATATTTAGTCTTACTGAAATGGACTGCATAATTAGTGTATGGGGTTCTATGGAACTCTTTCCATATCAAGTACTTAATTGTTATCCAATTGTTATTAATAATAGGTGGACTGACTGTGCGCGCAATCTTGGAGACCATGGATAACCATAATGTTGAGAGCTTTATTTCCCTATCCAGCCCCCAGATGGGTCAATATGGAGGTAACGGTTAAGACCTGCAAAAAATAACAAAAACAGGGGAAAGACATTCAAATAATTATTTATGGTGTTACATTGTCTATAGCCCTCATTTTAAGATCAAAGGTTTCTGTCAGGAGTCAGATCCAACCATTGCAAGTTCATCCTTGATTACCAAAATGCTAAGTAATATCCTTGTATCAGTATGCATATACTCCATACTGTTCTCTAAAGATTTCCAAATGTGCTGAGAAGGAGAATTTGTTTAACTATCACGAGTCTCTCGAGTTGGCGATCATTTCCTTTAGTGACATTCTAAGGAGAAATTAGAGGCAAGTCACTCGTAGCAGTTAAAGACTTCTAAATCTGTCCTGTACAAATAAGAAAGGCAATGGAGTCCATTTTTTACAGTTTTACCATGATCCCCTGCCTATAGCTATTTTCTGAAATATAGCTTGCCTTGTTTTAGTTGGATTTAAAGATAGATTTTTTGGCCATTCTGCCTTGCATATAGGCAAGAAGGAAATTTGAAAATACCTTAATTTACATTGATCTATTTATATCATTTTATGCAGACACTGACTATCTGAAGCCATACATTCCAAAGCTTGCTACAAAAGATCTTTACATGTGAGTCTATGCAGCAATACATCTTTTTAATTTAATTTAATTTATTCCATTTTCCCTGCATTAATTTGCAGTGGGGAAGGACTAGAAGGGAACATACGAACTATTCAAGCTAGTCCACCTTCCCACCATTCCCACCCCAGGGGAGGACATCCATCACACAGTAATCTCGTGTGTGGAAAATTAACATCTCCTACCCCAACCCTGCAGGAGACAGGACCTCCATTTATTCTTCCCTATCCGAGAAGACTTGAAAATCTAACCATTTCTTGATGTTATAGAAAGGTAGCAAAATCTTTTCAATTGTTTTGAGACCTAGCTTGAGTGTTGGTCCGGCCGGAGCTCGAACCCTCGACCTCTCGCGCAACATTCCAGTGCACTATCCATTGGGCTAACTGGGCGGTGATGTCAATTTATAATTGTGTGTTACAAATGTAGAAGCCTGAAATGACTGTCTAAACAAAATGATGCACTTAAATGTTTGCTGAGCTACTGTTGTGTGGGTAGTAAAGGGTTTATATATGTTTGTATCAAATGATTAAGCCCAATATTGATATGCAGTGCACAAATTATGCAGAAAGGTAAAGGTATTAAAATGTGAAATACAAAAACGGTCAACTTGAAGTGCAACATTGTTTCATTGAAAGTTTTGGGTTGATGTTTTGCTTTATTTCACCTCGTGTGATCAACTTGTCACACAACAAAAACATTTGTTGCGGGTTCAAGAAAGTTTTTGCAAAAAATAAAGCACAGGTCTCCTTAAGCAACAAACAAAGCTTGGCTTTGTTGCTTGTTTTTCATCAAACTTACAACTTGTTGATCATGCAAAAAATTTGCTCATGTTTTGCGACAAGTTAAACACGAAGGCACGCTATATAAGGAAGTCTTCCCTGGGAAAACCTAGGCTCATTTGTCACTCACCGTTGATGTGTGTGGGTCAAATTTAAATGCTGGTAGACGAACAAAAGGAGCTAATGAGATATCTATTGTTTACTTCCACCAGCATGGTGGTAGTGAGGTAAAGTGCGAACAACCTACTTTGATCTTAAATTTACCGCCACAACTAAAGAAGGTTTCCATTGGAGAAAGGAAATGCAAATCTCAAAAATTCTTGTATTGTGATGAAGACATAAAACAATTTTGAGGAATGTGCTTACTGTTCACTGCTTTGGAGTAGCTGTAGTTCAAGCTGACTTGACTCTAAGAGTTCTACATCACACGACAGTTGATTGACAAATGGTCCGGTGGGACCTAAGGCTCCTTTTATAGCGTGCCTTCGTGTTTAAGGGTTTGTGTATCTTGTATTACAGGCAAAGTGAAATTTGAAGTTTTCCTTTCTAAATTTGTGATACAAGAAGTACTGTTTAAAGCACAAGTGAAGTTTAAATGCATTTTATTTTTTTATGCATTTGGTGTTTTTTATATTTGTTTCAGACTATTTTACACTGAATATTTTCAAGATAGAGTTTCTTTAGCAAACTACTGGAATGGTAAGAAAATTTTCCAACAGTACAACAAAATTTCAAATAATTAAAAAAAAAACCCTCAAAAATATATTTCCTTTATTATCACAACTACAACCAAGAGCATTGTAAGGGCAGTCCCAGCAGAACCAACCAACAAGAGAGTAAAATGCAATCTTAATCTCAGTGTTTTCCTATACACAAGCTATGTTTGTAGACATCAAACATGTAGGTGACCTAAAATATTCTTTATTCTCTGACTAGATCCACACCATGAAGAAAAGAACTATGAGTACAACGTGTTCTTGCCAGTGGTAAACAACCTTAAGTCATCAAAGTTTTTCAATGCATCAGGTATGGAAAAAAAAAAGTGTGTTAATTATTTAACATACATGTACTTGTAACTGCCAATTCAATGTAAACATTTTGCAAATACAGGAGTAATGATGACTTGAAATGTGTAAAGTGATGATGGTTTGAAATATGTAGTGTTCACTTTGCATTGCTTTTTAGTCTCAGGCCAGCCGTAATTGTTCTTAATTTCAGTTCAGGAAGTCCATTGACCATTCCTTTTTGTTTAACATTCCCTTTTACACCCTGGCATCATTATGCATAATTATTCTTAATACTCAGGGCTTAACACTAACCGTAGCCCACTAGCCACAGACTAGTAGAAATTCAGTTTTGGCTAGTGGTTTTCGGCTTCCACTAGCCAGTTTGGCAAGTAAAGAAACTGACATTGTCATAGTATCTAAGATGTCACCAGCCACTTGGCTAGCTAGTAGGTTGAAAAGTTAGTGTCGAGCCCTGATACTGTTATCTATACATTTCCTAACGTGCTGAAAAGGAGAGTTTGTGTAACAATCAAGAGTTTCCTGAATTTGGGATCATTCCTTTTATTAAAAACTGGATCATTGGATAATGCAATTCAAGACCTTTTATTGGTTTTGCCATTATGTATATGAGCCAATTTACCATAATCTAAAAATGTAGTAAGTGTACACGTCAGCTTAAAATTAAAAGGGAGCTAAAAATAAGATTTGGTAAGATTTGTCCAATTTGTTGGGGGTGCTTTTAATAATTAAAGTCAATTATTCCACTCACACTTGTTAGATATGAGATGATTATAGTCAACTTGGCGCTACGCGCGCCTTGTTGGCCGTCTATCATCCAATATCCAACCCGCGCTCATGGAATTAACAATTATTCCACGAGCGCGCTTTGGATATGCGATGATAGATAGCCAATGAGGCGCATAGCACCGAGTTGGCTATAATCATCTCATATCCAACAAGCGCGAGTGGAATAATTGTTTTATTAAAAACGTTAAATTAAATTATTAAATTTTATTAAATTTTTAGCTCCCTTTTAATTTTAAGCTGACACATACACTTACCATATTTGTAGATTATGGTATATTGGCTGATATACCATAATGGCTAAGCCAATAAAAAGTCTTGAATTGCATTATCCAATAATCTAGTTCTTAATAATTTTTATTATTAAAAACTGGATCATTGGATAATGCAATTCAAGCCTTTTTGTTGGATTAGCCATTATGGTATAAAAGCCAATATACCATAATCTAATATCTGTACATTGTAACATCCGGTTTCTTCTTACAAAATAAAGTCGAGAAGATTTGTCTAATATCTTGGGGGCGTTTTTTTTAATAAAACAATTATTCAACTTGCGCTTGTTGGATATAAGATGATTATAGCCAACTCGGCGCTTATATGCACCTCATTGGCTATCTAGTATCTCATACCCAACGCATGCTCATGGAATAATTGTTAAATATTCTCATGACCTTAATATTTGATTAAGGGGTCATACCATTGGGAGAAATTAGATGTTTGACACTCTAGGGGTCACAGAGAGTTTAATATTCCTGTGTTCCTCATTATTTATTGGTCAGTGGATCGACTCAGCGAGAAAGAGAGAGACTGTATGTTAGCAGCTTGACTTGCCTTTTCCACACATGTCCCTCATACCTGAAGGGAACAATATCTTAGAATCCCTATGTCTGAATTTTCTAATGCTACATGTATGTCATCTGTAAAAATGATAACACTTCTGTTAGATCCTTTTTTAAAATTCAAAAACTGATTTCCCCAATCGATTACCACAAGTCTCACATTTTCTTCCTGAAAACCTGTCACAGTTTCTGCACAATTCAAAGAGAATTTCCTTCGAATCAAGAACTTGATTTTGGTAGGAGGTCCAGATGATGGTGTCATTACACCATGGCAGTCAAGGTAATGGCATAAAATTATTACATTTATCAAAGAGTCTTTCCAGAACAAACATTTTTGTGCAATTGTGTTAATTAATTGTAAGAATTATTGGTTCACTTTTAGCTTGAGCCATTATAATGGCAAAAAATATCATTATATTTAATTTTAATTCTTATCCTTTGCATAGAAAATGTTTACATATATTTTGAGTTTTGATCCTTTTTTTTATTACTATAGCCAGTTTGGGTTTTACAACACAAATCAAACAGTTGTGGATATGAAAAATCAACAGGTCAGTACTTAGTTAAAGGGGTAAGTTTCTAAAGAAACTATGGTACTTAGTAGTCAAGGAGAGGAGGGTGACCTTAATTTTGTTCTTCTCAAAGCAGCCTGTGTGGAGCTCAATCACATCATAAAGATGGTGGAAGTGGTACAGATCCAAATTTTTTCAAGTTTTAGGGTCATAGACCACTTTGCCCCTAAACCTGAAAAAATACCGGTACTTGCCCATCCTAAATGATGCAGTATGGATATAAGTTTACACAATTAAAAAAAAGTTGGGCACTTCTTTCATTGCAAGTACATACCAAATTTGCTGTTGTGTAAACAGTCTTTAAGTCTGCACATGAACGAAATTACTGATCATTACGAATCACAATTGGTATGGTAGAGAATGAATCATGCATAAATTTCTGCATCTGAATATATTATTAATGGACTGGTCCACAGGGGTGTATAGGCGGGAGGGAGGGGCAACAGCCCCCTGTTTACTTAATTGGGAGGTGCAGTCTAACAGCAGTATAAAGATGCTGGTGAACAAGATGTGTGGTATTTTAAAGTACAAAAAATAACTATTAAACTACAGTATTATTAAAAACTTCTATGTAAAATTTTATTAATTAAAAAAAATTACCCTATATCCTTTTGCTTTCTAAGTTATTTTATCCCTGTTACCTTTAAGTTACTACACCATACAATACTACCACATTCATTTTTCCTCATTACCTTATTACACCGTGTAAGGGCTGGTATTTGCATTTTTCACTGTTTTATGTCTTATGTTGTTAATGAAACCAATGTGGAAAACCTTATTACCTTATTATGAGTAACATATGTAAGCTGGAAAATGGAAATCAATCCTTAAATAGGCAACTTATGGTTGATTTGTCAGCAGCAAACTGTAAACTGTAATCAGCTTCATAAAATTATGTACAGAATTCCTTATAAAATTCCTTTCTAGGTTTATCTTGAAGACACCTTTGGCTTGCGCACTCTGAATGAAAGAGGGGCAGTTCATCAGTACACCTTTCCTGGGGTAAATCACACCCATTGGCATGGAACAGAGAAAGTGTTTGTGGAAGCTATTGAGCCTTGGTTAACTTGATAAAACCTTTGCTAAATTGGAGTCAATAGAGAAGAAATCAAAAGGAATTGTTTGCAATTTGGTTAATTATTACTACTGTTAGCACCCTTAAACTCCCAGAAGTGATTGGCAAGTAACTTCTCTCTACAGCAAAAAAGTAACAAGAATAATCAGATTTATCAAGTAGAAGTTGTTAACTAAAACTAACACCAGATCTCGTAACTAACTTACAGAGAAATGTAGGGAAGCTAGAGGAAACAACTAATAATCAGATCTTCGGAGTGAAAGAGTTAAAGGCTCTGCAAAGAAAATGTTGCAGCAGGTCTTTGAATCTTTTCTGGCTGGTCCTCAAATTTTACTGTCAAGAGTTGACATGTTGCATTTTTGGAACTTGAATTCTGAATCTATTTTCATAGAGTTGTGTATAGTTTGCTAAAATAATTATATTTTCAAAAGCTCTTGAAATTTTAAGCAGTATAATCAGAGAGTAAAGAGAATAGTGGCAGCAACACACAGTTTCGCTCAACTGTGTTCTCCATAAAAAAAAAAAAAAAACCAGCAAGGCAGGTTTCACTCAACTGTGTTCTCCATGGAAAAAAGAAAAAAAAAAAACAGCAAGGCAGGCTTCACTCAACTGTGTTTTCTGTGAAAAAAAAAATGGCAAGGTAGGTTTCACTCTACTGTGTTCTCCATGGAAAAAAGAACAGAATCAAGACTGAAATTTGGTTACATTTTGGAAACCTGTTTGACCATTAGCAGCCCAGAGTCACACAATGATTGATAATCACTATTGACGCTTTACACCCCAATGTCAGTCTCCATATTCTCCATATACTGTTCTCTAAACATTTCTTTTGGTGCCGACAAGGAGAATTTGTTTAACAATCAAAGTTTCTCAGGTTGGTGATCGTTTCCTTTTACTCTCTTGATCTTGATGAATTATTCTGTCACTATACTGTAAGAAGATATTAGTTGCTGGTTGCTCTTATGGTTTAAAGGGTTAAGAAATATTTTAAAATTCCAAGTATATTTTATGAAAAGGTATGACAATCAAAGGGAAAAACTGCAATGACCAATCAGCCATTGCTAGATTTCCATTTAGGACCTCTTACACTAGTTTGATGACATGGATATTTACAATAATTTGAATTGTTTCTATTAATTACCTGTTATTTATCAGTGAAATTGTTTTACTGGCTTGAATTTTTTAGTATAAGAAATGTTGGATAAACAAAGATGTTGAGTACTCTTTCAAAAGTTTTAAATCATTAAGTTAAAAATTAAATGTTAGACTTAGAAATCAGACTTTTTGAGCCCAATTAAATAGATCTAGTTATGATGTGTTTGCATGAGGCATAAATGTAATTGCTGACAAATTTTTTTATTTGTTGCGGGCTCCCACTGAATTTTTAATTTAGTGACAGGATCCTACTTCCACATACACCTTCAAGGTAGAGCTGCATGCTAACAAGGAAAATCTTTGTCAATCCTAGTGTAAAACTATTCCATTTAGTATGCAATTGCAAAAGATTGACTATTTTCAATTAGCTCATATTATTTCATTTTGTTTGATAAGTTAGCTCCAACAAAAGTAGTGTATCCTATTCTTTTTATTTGGTAACATGCTTACATTGATTTAATGGCCTGTATTTTTTTATTCTTTTATTTTTTTATTTTTATGGTGTTAACTTTTGGAAATAAATAAACAGGGTTTACTTTAATAGTAACATTTTGCATATATTGCTGTCATTTTGTCTGCCTGAACTTTTTCTATATTGATAATAATAAACTTAGTCTAGCAAAGTAGCTGTGGATTTCACTTCTTAAAAATATGCACAACACCCTTTAAGGAAGTTGGGCATATGTTTTAGAAGTCAACACCCCTTTTATGATCATATCCATTATGTTCCACAAGCGTTACCCCAACTGCATTCTGTTGTGGTAAACAGTCATGCATTGGCATGAACTCTTTACAGTAACTCCCATGAGTGACCAAGACAGAATTTCTCCTTACCAGATCAATACAATATCAAGCAGCCAAGTGATGAGAATATAGAAAATTGTAAATCAGGGGATTGTCAGTCAATACAATACCAAATTCTCTTAAGTGACATAAGAATTGAAGACAGTAGGGAGAATTATTTATGAGATCTTCAGAGTTAAAGGGCAAAGAGAATTCACCACAATCATTTCTGAAATTATTCTGAAATATTTAATCATTTATGCAGCCATTAAAACAAACTACTCATGCAAAACATTTATGATCACCATAATTGATAGTAATTAAATCAAAACTTAAACTCTATATTCTTTACACAAAAACAAATATCCATACAATGTTGAGAGATGCACAACTTACAACTCAGATGATACAGGCAAACATTTTTAACAATATACATAGACAAAAAAAGTATGTAGCATTAATTATTTTTCAAATCAAAATCAGGTTTCTTCAGAAATGTCTTTCAATGGGTCCAAAATTAAGAAGTCCGCTTGTCCTTGATTGAAACCTTTTGTTGTGTCTATAAAGTTTTGAAAAGCAGTTGATGTGTCCTTCAACTTTTCTTCCACTTTTCCTTTCATCTCTTTTGTTCTTTCCGTTTCCTCTTCTGCAGCTAGTTTCAGCTGTATTTGCACATCAATACGACCTTCGAACTTTTTTATTTCTTTCTCGTGGGTCTCCTTTTGTAGCAAAAGTTTGCTCTCCTCCTCCTTTTTGCACTTTTCCTCCACTTCCTTCACTGCTTGTTTCTCCTCTTGTTTTAATCTCTCTTTAAGATTCTTCAAAGCTTGCTAAGTTGGAAAGCCAAGACAAAGTAAGTTACAACATAGCTCTCGAGCTTACTTTGCAAAACGGGAAGCAAAATAATATTTTGAAGATTGTGAAGAGAAGTAGAGAATCACTGAATCACCAAAATCCTTAGCTTCCCCATCTAGAGTTGTCAGTTTACCAGGGAACTTAGAAAAATGCTGGGGAAAGGGGAATAACCTAGAATAGACCACAGTTGCACATGTAGAGTACCATTCCATCCAGGATGCATGAAAACTCCTGGCCACAGAATGTAAATGTAAATTAATACCTTGCAGAGAAACTTCAGTAACTCTACCTGTTTTTCTTTCTCAGCAGCCAGAATCAACTGTTTTCTTTTGTCTTCTTCCACTTGAGCCACCTTCTTTGCCTCATCAGCTGCTATAGCCTTTTCTTCTTCCCTTGTTTTCTGTATAGCTTCAGCCTTTTCTAACAGAAACTCATCTCTGGCCTTTTTCAGTGCCTCTTCCAGTCTCTTTTGACCGTCATCTTTTTCCTGCTGAACTTGCTGAGCAGCCAGTTTTTTCATCAGAGCTTCTACTCTTTTTGACTCAGCCTTGACTGCCTTTTCCTATAGACAACAAAAGTTGAGTGAACAATAAATTATGCAGTAATAGGATGAAATCAAAATAAGGATGAAGCAAGAAAATTTTAATTTTCTTGTGTTGAATGACTATGGTAAATGAGTATAAATGAGCACCCTTAAATACTTTCAATTAATTATACCCTTGGTGCTCATTGTAGCTTTAAATAACACAGTCATATACCCGAGTATTTGCATTCCTGACCATGACAGTTTAACAAATAACGAGCTTCAACCCAAATTTTAGCAATGCAAGAGACAGGCCCAAGGGTAATTCTTCTCATCTGAGACTACTATCATCAATCACTTGCTGGTATCATTGTGAAGGGAGCACGTTCCCGGCAGTTTTTTCAAGACCTCGCATGCTGGTCCAGTGGTAGACCTAAACCTGGATTGTTCAAATTCTTTTCCCAATCCTTAACTTCCCATTGTGAAAAAGAAAAATAGGAAATAAATTAACAAATTTAAATTGGAATTTAGCTGTGGTAATTCAAACAATCAGCTCTTCATCCACTTTTTTCCCAGTAACATTGGAATTCAGAGTGTTAGTTTTATCAGGGGAAAAAAAAAGTAATTTCTGAAGAAAAACCTATTAACTAAGGACAAGAACCAACAACAACCTCAACCCTCATGAAATAAACTCAGATCAGGTCAAACCCACATCTGGAGAAAGCAAACTCTTGCTAGTGCATTATCTCTGCTCCTCCTCTTGTTTGCTATTCCCATTTCCCCCTCTGCAACATATCTGCCCTCCCCCTCATACACAGTCCTTGCATGCCTTTACACCATTCCTGCCTTCTGCTCCCCCCTATACCATCCCTGGTCCCCATACTATCATGCCCCTTGAATGCACCATTTTGAAATTAATGCCCACCTGGGCTTTCTTGGCTGCTGCCAAAGCTTTGTCCAGTTCCACTTCAGCAGCTTCTTTGGCTGCCTTCAGAGCTCTTACTTTCTCTTCTGAAGCTAAGCGCCAAGCTCTTTGCTCTACTTCTGTCACATTTTGCTGCCTTTCTTTCTCACACTCCTCGATTGTCTTTTGATACAGTTCATTTCCAAGTACTGCAATTAAACACCATATTTTCTTAAACTCATTCAATAAGCTCTTGAAAGTGCTTTTTAGACACATCTATCTTGTGCAAGCATCTCATTCTTCAAAAACCATTTATGTAAACAATATCAAACACATTGTTAGAGGACACTTCGTGTGATATCTAAATGTAATACCAATGCCTCCCAGTAAGCACCTGCTGATGAAAGGGGGGGGGGGGTGAATATCTTGTGTTTCCAAAATCCCTCAACACTCCCCTACACAGCTTTGGCTTGCCTCTTGCCCTTCCTTCCCAGATTAACAATTAACAGATGTCCCTTCAATTTCCCTTATTTTTTTCCATATCCCTCCAGCCCTTTCCCTTCCCATTCACTTACAACAAATAAAGTTCTAGTTGCTGTCACTTGAGGCCCTCAAAGAGTATGAGGTCCAATCCAGCAACCTTCTTTTAAGGTTCACTACCAGTAATAGTGTGCGAAACACAGTGACGAGCCTAGCTAACAACGTAAGAGGCTACGACTGGTTGAGCCACTCAGCTTAGCTCGAATCCGGATTTTACCTCACCTTTAGCAGTACCAGCGACAAAATTTTACCCCCGAAAGGGTAAGCGGCCAAAGCATACTTTTGAGGGAGTGAAAACTACTCAATGCACGATCCATATTGCTTTAACTCAATAAACTTAATAAAGGGCTCTGAGAAAAGTTTACATTCGGTATAAAACTCAAAAATAAATCCTAGAACACGAAACATCTTATTACGATTAGCTAGCTGGTTCCGCGATCCGTTTACACTGCAACAAGTAGTATTTAAATACTCGACCGATTTGTCAATTATAGCAACAGTTTTTTCAAAAATAAATTACCCAAGATATCCTTGTGAGTGGTATTCTGTAGGACAGAAACTTTGGAGTCTTCGTGAGGCTTGGATAACACGGAGCGGTCGTGAGTAGCAATATACGCCGCCATTTTGAATAAAAAAGTCAGTATTCTTTCGTCGTCCTGGCGACCGTCGTGGAGACCTGGAAAAAAGCGGGGCAACCTCGGGCAACCAACTGTTCAACTGAACGGGCAGCGGTGTTACCAGAAGTTAAAAATGGCGGACGAAATTCATCGTCAAATAACCTTGGTATAAGTTTCTCGAACTTGTGAAAGTGGATGAACGAAGTATGGTATCGGTTCATGATAATGCTGTGGTGATACCTGGGGAAAGATTAGGAAGTTTTAAACAATATGAAGCAGGAAATGGAACTTATACTCGCCATGGATATGTGTATGCTAGTCTTGCTGGTTACAAACAGTTGCAAAACCAAGAGAGTGTAGAGGTTTGTGAGATTTCTTGATATGATATAAGTTTCCTTCGATTGTTTGACGCAGTCCGGCCAAAGTTCCCCGAAAAGTGTTGTGATGCGCATTTGATCATATCCACGTGTTAATTTGCGCAATATAAATATTAAATTATTATTAAGCCTGAGATATCTGACTTCAATATTAGAGATATGCAGCAAAAAAGTACTGTGTAAACGCCTTTCGTAACGGCAGCGTTTTTTTAAATGAAAATTGTATTTTTTGGTCAAGTTGTCGACGCCAGAAACGATAATTTACACGATCGTGAAGGAGCACGAATGAGGTCCACCTTCTCTTAAAGGAGTCCATATAAAGTGTTTGTGATCGTAACTCAGAGACAGGATATTACAAATCGAAACAAACCGATCATCGGAAACTAATCCATTACTCTATCTTACCTGGTAATATTTAATTGTTAATCGATTAGCTAAAATAATCAATAGATATCAACAACCACAAGATTTGGGCCCAGATATTTATCCATAAAATTGATTTACTCGGCTGAGAGAACAAATGACATCATAATTATCAACTCAGATTTACTGTAAGTGAGGTTTTTGTCATAACATAATATTGATTATCTCCAAAACCTCAGCTATCAATTTTAATCAATTTTCTCTATTAATAGATTACTTACTCTCAAAAATTATTGATTGCAATAGATTTTATCGAGCATCAAAATAATCACTTTGTAACATCCTGCCAAAGTAAGAAAGCATGTATGGCACCACACCCACATGATGTCTGTTGAATGACTGATGGATAGTTTAATTGACTGATCCAATTAATTGATTGATGAACCCTTTATACCCCTATCAGGGTTAGACACTAACCACTGACTGTAGCCAACTAGCCACAGGCTAGTAGAAATTCAGTTTTGGCCAGTGGTTTTTTTATTTCCATTGGCCAGTTTGGCTTAAGTAAATGAACTGAAATTGTCTGATGTTTAAGTTGTCACTAGCCACTTGGCCAGTAATTTGAAAAGTTAGTGGTGAGTCCTGCTTACATCAGTGTCCATATTCTCCGTATTCCTTTCTATTCATTTGCTTTGGTACTTACGAGGAGAATTCATCTAGCAATCAAAACTGAATGATTTAGCAGTGTTGCTATAATGAGTAATTAGATGATCATCACTTAAGATTTTAAAAGGGTTACTGACCTTTAACTTCAACTGTCTGATTGCTAATTCTCCCTTTTAGCTGCTACACATTTTCTTGTAAATTAATTACAAGAATTTGGTGTTAGATCAAGGTAACAACTTCTTCATGATTAGATTGAGTATTCTCATTACCTGTTTGCTGGATAATGTATGGATATTATAGGGAGAAGTTACTTGTTAATCACTTGTGGGAGTTAAATGGTTAATTCTCCCCTCTAGCTGCTATGCATTTCCTTTCAAAATAAATTCAAGAATTTGGTTTTAGATCAAGATAACAACTTCTACCTGATAAGTTTGAGTATTCTCATTACCTGTTTGCTGGATAATGTAAGGATATTCAAGGGAGAAGTTACATGTTGATTACTTCTGGGAGTCAAAGAGGGAAGAGCTTGATTGATTTGTTTGTTTCATTTGGTTTGGTATGTTTATTTATACCCCTTGCAGAAAATCTGAATCACAGGTATAGTAAGCAAATTGTATACATGAAAGTAAGCTTACAAAATACAATAGTAAATAATGGATTTTTATACATTTTGATTTCAATGAGTGGCAAACTTGTTCGTTACAAACAAATGCAAGTGCGCGCTTTTGGACCACTTCTAGGGCCTATACTATGGAAGATTGGTGAATGTAGGTGTCGCATATTCTAGAAGAGGCCTATAAGTGTGCAGTACACCCCGACAATGTCAGCTTGGGACACTCCACAGTGCCTGAGCGTTCTGATGGCATATAGCCTGTGGGATTGACTGATTGACTGAATTACAAATCAAGTGACAAACTCATAACTCACCCACTTATTGGCCATTTTGATAGATTAGTTGACTGACAGTACAGATTGGTGGACAAACTGACTTACTGATTTCATGTTGCACAAATTAATCTTCAGTGTTTTGTAATATGGATCTAGAAACCTATCATACACATCATTAGAGAAGAGGAAAAGCACATAGTGCCAGAAGTTGGTTCAGTCGTCACATGCAAGGTAGGAAAATTTCTGCACCAGAAAGTTTATTGATTAGTATCAAATTTCTGGCTGATGCATGGAGTCTTTTACCCAGAAAGTTCAAAAAAGTCTTACAGGAGAGATACAAAATCAGGTAAAAATGAAAATTATGTCAAAGCTATTTCAAACTTGGTGGATTCATATTTTTCTCTGTTTATGAAGTACGATTATTTCATCTAACAAAATGGAAGTCAGAAGAAACTAGTTCAAAGCATTTTTACCTGAACTGCTTTTAAATTACCGGTACAGAGTATGCATCATTGTAATCTACCACACACTTACAATTACGGTATCATAACTAGAGCAAATTTGTTTGAAGAGTTTATTTTTTTTTTTTGTGGGACTGAGTGACCTTAATAGACCTCTTTCATAGATAGCTGCCGGATTAATATTCTTTTGTTTAAATGTAAATTAGCCCTTCTGGCCTCACTTGAGATAATGTATTCTTTTGAATTTTGTATTGGAGAACAAAGCCAGAAGGGCTAATTTAAATTTAAACAAAAGAATATTAATCTGGCAGCCATTTATGAAAGTGGTCTATGAGCGGGGTGATAAAGCTCAGATTTTATCTCTGTTTTTTCTCATTTAAAGGTTATAGGAGAGACCTTGTCACAAGCAATTGTTAGCTGTAATATAAGAGAAAATTGCTCCTTGATGGTGGATGTATATAGTTAACCTTTAATATGTACACCCTAACATCAGTATTGACTGTTCTCTATTACATTTTCTCAGGTGCTGAAATGGAGAATTTTTTGAACAATCAAGAGCTTCTCTAGTTCATGATTATTTCATTTATTCTTCCCTTTGTTCACCTATATTCTTAAATCTTTCATTTGGGGTGACATTCTATGGCAAAATTCATCAGCTGACCAGGGAATTCTGCATTAAATTGGGTGTGATATCGGTGTTCAAGTGCTATTTAATGCAGTATTCACGAGTTGGGTAATGGATTTTCCTTGAATTGTATAATTGAATAACTTTTTCGCAATTGTGGTCAGTGTTACAATTTGAAGATAGTTGTTACGTGGTGTATGTAGATGCAAAACAATATCACTTAGCCTCCTTTTCACCTTGCAATTCCACACTAAATACCTTGCTATGTTAACCAATCAGAATGCAAGATTTTATTCAAGGATGCGATTCTAAGGAGAGATCAGAAACTAGCCATTCATAGGGGTCCAAAGGTCAGGATGTAATGAGGAGGTAGGGGAACCTTCCTGGTAAAGCTGTTAATTTTTTTTTTTTACTTTAGGTGACGAGCACAAACCCAAGGTTTTGCAAAGTAGCAATTCTTGGTGTAGAGACAACTTCTTTAAAAGAGCCTTTTAAAGGAACAATCAGAAAAGAAGATGTCCGGGCAACCGAGAAGGACAGAGTTGAAATGTACAAGTCCTTCCGCCCTGGTGATATAGTACTGGCCAAAGTACTGACTCTTCATACCCAAACATATCTTCTTTCAACTGCTGAAAACGAACTTGGAGTCATTTTTGCCAAGAGTGAGAGTGGTAAGATGGACTTATTTTTTCACATTCACAAAATTTTCAACTTAATAGAGGGAAGCCACTTTCTGGATTGATCTGCTTCAATAATTTCGAGTTCAATTTACAATTAGTTTGTGTCACTGTTGGAAATTTTTTTTGGTCTCTAACCCTTCCCCCCCATCTATTTGGTGGGTAGGTAATTTTGAAATATTGATTGTTTTATGCATTATTATGAAGAAATGTGCCATGCATTACTTTTTGAATAACGTAGTAGTCATTGTAACATTTCTCAAAAACAGTGTACAAAGGTATTTTTCTTTGGGATTTTTTTCTTTGTGCCTTTACTTTTGTCCTGGATGTCAAAATCTAAAATTATTGTACTCTATGATCAAATTTCCAAACAGAAAAGCACTGGTTCAATGTGCGGACAAAGTTTTCAATCAAGTTTTTAAGTGTATGAATAAAAAGTAGATGTCAAATTGGTCATAATAGTATGGGCTTTTCATGCTAGTTTATTCATTTAATTATATAGGTGCTGCAATGGTGCCAGTCAGTTGGTGTGAGATGCAATGCCCCAAAACAAGAGCAAAGGAACACAGAAAGGTTGCAAAGATTCAGCAAGCATCTTGATAAATCAACAAATTTATAAACATTCAGTATTTTGCCTCAACTATGGGATGGATTCATAGGGACTGAATTTCTTCAAGTTACATTTTTGGAGAGGGGAAAAACAAGGGAAAATTGTTTTCAAAAGCAAAAAAATTTTTTAGACTAAAAAATTGTCATCAGGAACAAGCAGCCAGAAAAACTTCTGATAGACTACAACAGAAAAAAAATTGTTTAACTTTATTTTTTTTGCATTCTCTCTCGAAAAAAATTGTCAGTCCCCTATGCAACCACCTGGATTCACTTGGGGTGACACGTCAGAGAAGAGCAGGAAATGACTCCTTAGTAATAAAGTTACTATGGGAAAGTTACACCAACAAGATATTAAAGTGCTTTAACAATGTTATACTAGTGCCTGATATATAGTGCCATACGAATGCAACAAACTGACAGACCATTACATTATTTAATACTTTTTTACAGTTTTGTCTCAAATTTGTCAAGTTTAGTGACTATTCCTTGTCCTCTCATTTTGAATAAAAATACCAGGACTTCAGCGCCAGCAGCAGCTGGTGTTTCAAAATTGTGCTGGTCTCATCCAGGGGCATAGAAATGGTCACTTTCTACATCTTTCCACAACGATGTGGAAAGATTTTTTTATAGATGGTTGTTTGAATCTAACGCCAGTAAGTGATTATCTAGTTGTAGCAAGAAGCCATCTTGACACTTGAAAAAAATCAAAGTTTATGTAAACTGTTTGACCAAGCTGCTGCACGTCGTGGAAGATGGCTTGGAATGGGTCCTTAAAAACCGCTGAACTTAAGAAAGTAGCATTTTGGCGCCAAATGGGTCATCGCGTCGCCGACCTGCAGCTTTGATTTAGCGGGAAAATGTGAGGCGATGAATGAAGTGGTAAACTGCGCGGCAGCTCGAACGCACAATGTCTTCCAGTTCGAGGTTCTTCGTTTTAGCCCTTCATTTTGTGATAATATTGCTCCAGAAACAACACAGCAATGCGTTTATCGACTTTGGTGACAGGGGAAGTGTGGAAGCCGTCGTATTTGAAGAATTTTCATCTCAATTTAGAGAGCCTTATAACCTGCTCTATTTCAAGTCTGCATCTCTTGTTGTTTACTGTCAGTTGAGAAATCGTAGCAGCGATACTCAAAACTCGCGTAATGTGTTAGTAAATGAGTATTCCTCGCAAGGCATGGCTCCAACTATCACTATCGTCACTTTGGGCTGGTCGAAATCCTACTTTTTCAACGAGCTCATTCAAGACGAAGACTCTTACTGGAAGATGAATATTTCAAAGGAAGAACTATCGGAGCATTTCCACGAAGAAAGCAAAGGGAGAATTCCGTGGCAGTTCAGAGTAGAACTTGGGCAAGGCCTCAATTTGTTTGAATCATGGGGAAATCTTATAATACCAGACTTCGACCCATTATTTTCCGTTGAATTCGGAGATAGTCTATCAGACCAGAACGCAATTCCAGTTGTGGAAGATGTCATTGTATGGCAGCATCCATGTACTCCAGGATTCGCAGTTTTGGTTCCTGTGTTTGAGGTGAAAGAGTCCTTTACAGGTAATTTGATGGAAAATTAGTTGTGACCTTAATTTTTTGCCGTGAATACAGTACTCCAAAAATAGTCTGAAGCTGAGCCACGAACATGATTAAAACTGTTGAAGACTCACTGATATGGGAAAGTGTTTGGTGTTGTTATATTACAAAGTTAGAAACCCATTTCCTACCACTAACCTTTAAGACGTTTTCAGTTCCCTCCTTTTCGTCTAATTGTTCGAATAAGGGGTATAAAAGTATCTCTCACTGAAGGAATGGAAATATCTTCACAGTTAAAGCACCAGCAGCTAAAAGACATGGATCAGCTTAAAACTCCTGCGGATTCTTCACATTTGGTTGACACTTTTTTGATTGTATGTTCGTCCGTAGTGTATTAATCAGTGTTACTTTCGTTAAAATTGAATGAAAAGTAGTCTTACACAATTGTAAATATTAGGCTAGATTCATGAATTACAGAGACCTTTCACTGTCTCTCTTCAGGGTGCTACATGGCTGTAACTCATGGAAGTTTCACATCAAACACAACACTTTGGTATGATCTCCTTCACCGTTCATCTGGAAAGCCAGACAACTACTCTATCTGCAAAGAAAGCTCATTTGCCAGTTGTGAACGACTGTTAATTTTGGACTTGGCTTTGTTTAGCAACCGCATTTTGCTAGTAACCTCAAAGGGTGTTCTAAGGTCGGAATCAATCAATGAGGCTTCGGGATTTAACAAAACAAAGGTACGGTTGTCTTATCAGAGGCTGTTGACAGTATTGGTGGGTAGTTTAAGCCATAGAATGATTGCTACTTTTTATATCAATTGTTACTCAACACTTGTAATCAAAAGTTGTTGTAAAAGTGACTTAAAAATAAAACTTGCTAAGGGGAATAACTTTCATAATACTACAAGCTAAGAATGATATGAAAACGTGTTTTCAGCAAACGACATGTTCTCAGTATCTGATTTCGTATTTTTTTTCTGATCAGAAATAAAAAATATCTATATAATGAGGGGTAGATAAGGGATGCTTGACGTTGCGGTAAACGCTGGTCATGTCTAAACACGTTTCTCAACTTCAAGTTGATCTATTGTAATGATAAACAATTATCGATATTTGCATTAACTACAAGGTCTATGATACTTTCCTTATCTATAAAGCTCCAGTTTCATAGAGTGTCTAATATACATCCGATAATCGAGCAAGCATTCAAAGATGGGACAGTGGAACGTGATAGAATCAAGTTGCATCACACAGCTCACTGTGATGGACAAGAGATATTGATCACAGAGCATGCAGCACATTTGGTTTATACGCCGGCTGGCAGAGAGCATTCTATTCTTCTATTAAGTGAGCCTCCCTTTGATAAATGGTCCTCTATTGAGCTTCCCGATCAAATCAAGTCTTTCGCAGTTCTTGGTGTCACGTGGGACATTCAAAGAGCTACAGTGGTTTTGCTCATGAAGGACCCTTTTAAGGTAGAGGCTCTGAGGCTCTGTCTGAGGAGTATTCTGATGTTATAAATTGCTAAACTATAGCATGCAATATCTGTTAGTGGGTCATGATGTGTATGTTTGTTGTTGTTGTTTTTTTTTGTTTTTTTTTGTTTTTTTGGAAAAATAATGAGTACGACGAAGAATGATGTATTCAAAAAGTAATTTTTAATAAGAAAGGCTACCTGCGTGGGGATTTAAAAAATCCACGTAATTTTTACCGTAGGTCAAGGTCTCAGAAAAAGTTCCAAACAGAAATATGTCTTGCAAACATGACGGAATCCTGTAAACTTATCGAAACTGTTTAAATAAGCTGACGGTCATGTATGAAATCTCCTTATTTCACAGCCTCAACAATCCCTGTTGTTATGAACTTTATGACAGATAGGGCTCGATTGACTTTTCCAATGTTTATATCGTTTTACTATGTTCACAGGTACAGTGTTTGGTCGCGGTACTTCATCCACAGACATTCCAACCTATTCAGGCCATTTTTCGATTCCCAAATCATGTCAATTTTAAAAGGATTAATTTACATGTTCACACTCATGTTATCTTCGTCTATGGATCCCAGGTAAGAGGTCAAAGTTTAAAAGAACACAAATCGGCCATTGGAAACAAAATGATATCCAGCACCTTGCAGAGTAGGTGTAATTTTTGCAAGCGAGTGCTCAGTATTCTCCTGTTGGAAATTAGAGCTTCCATCTTTGGTTTTTACGGCAGCGGAAGGCTGGGGAGAGAAATAAATTTTTATCTTTCTCCGCCCCTTCCCCCACCTTCCACTTTAAATCTAAATCAAACACGGCAGGTCGAGTAAACGACCAAGAGCTTTTAAAGTTAACTCTCCCTAATAAGACACCTGCACTGGAGGCTAAGCAGCCTGAGCCTCTGTTTTGAATTGGTAATATATGATGATAATTCGCTACTGTAGCAGAAGGAGAGGGAAAAGTAATAAAGTAACCTTCGCCATTCTTATGTTCACCTCTCGGTAACTGAGTTATGTTGTAGTTTCTATGATAGGGCTAATACGTACAGGGGCAATAGCGTAGCAGCGATAGCTATTTGTAGTCATTGGCGTCAGTAAGAAAGATCCAAGATGGAATGAACCTGCTTTCTGACGAAAAGAATTATTTCTTAAATTTTCTTTTAGATCTAAACTAATCAAGGCCAACACTAAGTTCGTAGGATGTAATATTATAATTTTATGCATCTCTGTTGAGAAATTCATGATATCTTGATAAGAAAAAATATATAATAAAATAAGCTCATTTAACCTAACTCAAATATAACTTGATTTTATGACCCATTCACGGGTTAAGGTAAAAGTGAAGCTTAGAAACCTTTCTTGCGATACGTTTCATTGTACTACTATGGTTCGATCAGAAATTGATTTCATAAGAAACGATTTATGAACTTAGTTTGGGATCGTTTAGGTGTGGTTATCTCTGGACGGAGGAAACTCGTTTAAGAAGATACTGGATACACAGCTCCGCGGTGATTTTGTATCGGCACTTTTTACCAATCCCCTAGGAGACGCATTTGCGTTGGTTACAAGTCTTGGCGCTGTGTACAGTGGCTGGTCAGGCATTCCGCGAGTAAGTCGCATTGAGCCACCTGGTTCCTTTTCCAAGTGCTCCATCAAGCTGCCTTATTTCCAGCATCATAAGTCGGTCAACATAATTTGCGTGCAGAACGTATCAAGTGCACTGAAATTCAACACTTACAGTATCGATCTAGCCTCACAGATCAAAGCAGACAGGATTGTCCATCACAGGCCTCTTCTTGTTCATTTTGTATCTGAAAGAAAAGTAGAATTTTTTGCCTTTTGCGGAGATGCCTTTTTCTCAGATCAGATTGGCTGTTCTGACTCGTTTCAGCAATCTGATGTTGGACGCGTGGTGCGAACAAAAAGTGGGGGCTCAGCTTTGATAACTGAGGTGCACGACAGCAAACCCTCGAGTGATTTTAGTGCGCCTGTCACTGCTCTTGTCATTAAACCATTTGGTCTTGTAGACAGATCAGACTCTCCAGCACTCCATTACACCCTTCAAGTAAATATTACGGGTTCACATGCTGAATTGCACCTGCAGAACTCAGGAAACGATTCGGGCTGGCGAGGTGCAGACATCGGTAAGACAGTTCTTCTGTTCAATGGGGTAAGTCTGATTCTTACGACGTGCATAAGTCTTTCATCTGCCACTGGAAGGCTACCAACGTCATGGGATAGTTCTGAAATGTACACTGAATGTTTTGAAGAAGGAATGTGGTACCTCATGGATTTTCGTCCTTTTCGTGGCTTTCGTCCGCTAAGCTATCTAGTTCTTCAAGTGCGCCTAATGGATGTTAATCATGCTATAGCAGAGAAGGTAAATGATCAGTTCTCATTTTCAAGAGATTTTATTGGGCATATATTAAAATTTGACCACGAGTGGGGCTTGATTACCTCAGTCAACGATACCTCAGTCGAAATCATGAACCCTGGTAACTTGAAGCCCGGTAACTATACCAACAACTGGGGTTTTTACCAAGCACAAGTTAGTAATGATTCCTACACACCTTATATTCCGAAGCCTCAATTTCATGATTGGTGGTTGGCAGAAGACGACTGTCGGCATTTCCTTGTCGAAGACCCACCCAGTAAGCTAGAACTCTACCATCTGGACTCTGGGCAAAGTCTTAACTTTACCCTCCGCATTATATTTAAAGGAGTAGCAGATAACAATCCCGAAAAACCTTTAGTGAGGTTGTTTATTGGGAAACCTTCCTTGTTTTATGTGAAGTCATCTTACCGATACCAAAACATGAATCACACTCTCCGAGTTACTTTAACAAAAAGACCTTTTGTCGTTGGAATATCATCAGTTTCTGTGAGATTAGAACAAACTGCTTCTCTGTTATGCAAGGAGGCATCTTACACTGTGCACGGGGGTTGTCCACCGGATAAAAAGCTACGTTTCTTGTATCCTACATCATTTTCTCTTGATGCCTTTTTAGATTCGGAAATAACGGATTCTAAAGGCATAGTGAGGAACATGAAAGTACCTTCCAACTACAGAACTCCTTCTTCACGAGGCAAAGCAATACCAATGTCGGAAAATGCTTACAACGTCGACCCACAGAAACCACTTTACAAAACCACATACACCATCACCAGAATGACACTTCGATATAAACAATGCAAAGGGAAAAAATTTCGCTCTGATTGTGGATGTACGAGGCAAATGAGAGGGTCTTCTCTTGTTGAGCATTCAGACTGCATCGATACTGTTTACCGCGTTATGTTCAGTGAAAAAATTACTCCACGCTTTGTAGTCTCACAAGAACATAAAGAAGACGAACCGCTACGTTTCCCATTTTATCTCGAAGAACTGAATCAAAGGAAAGATTTCATAGTACTCTCCCCGAGTGATCTTACGTTTGTCGGAATATCGTCACCAGTGCTTGAACAGAGTCTTAACAGTTCTATACAGTTTGAAGGCTCAGGCTTGTATCATTTTCGTGCTCAAATTGTGCAAGAGAATTACACATTCGGCATCTTGACAGACGAATTTGTGGTTTTTGTCGTCGACGCTCCTTTGCCTTTTCCTGTGAAGGACGTTGTAAGAGCCTGCACAGGAATGGGATTCGCAAGTTTGTTATTTATTGTTTACATTAAACACTTTCATAGGAAGAAGAAGATGAAGAATGATTAGGATCAGAGTTCCCCTGAATTGAGGGTTCAGTTTTAATGACTGATATATGCCTTTTGTTTATTGGGAGACTTGTTATTCATTTGTGCGTCTGATCTCGAGATTCTACAGTGCAAACTTTTGTAGAGGCCTAATAACAGATGGACGCAATTTTTAATACAGTTGCTGTGAAGGAAACTTTACAAAAATAACAGGGTGTCACAATAACTTTCCCTTCGTCGCACCACTAGTCGAGGTCAATAAAACAAAGATGGTGGTTCCGCTGTAATGACTTACTCTCAATGCTGAAAAGGTTCCCAACAAAACTGTGACATACATTATTACGTGCCGATATTTCCACGCTTTCCACTATTTTTCCGCTTTGGAAAGGTCTCAAACTTAAGTCAAATGAAAGTAACTAAACATTTCTAAAAGATCTGTCTTTTTATTTGCAGATCAAATATTCAGTGCTTTCAGACTTCTTAGGTTCCATCTGAAGCACTGATTCTAAGGCCCCGTCCACACGTATCCGGATATTTTTTAATCCGCAACTTTTTCGTTCCGGGTACGGCTATCGTCCACACGTATCCGGCGAATTCGCAAGCAAATCCGAATATTTTTTTAATCCGCTCTCCAGAGTGGAAATTTTTTAATCCGATAACATTTTGGATACGTGTGGACGGTTGATCCCGATATTTTCTGATACGATGACCTCACAAAATTTGCGCCAGTGTTTACCGCGCAAAGTTAAATATGGCCGCCGATAAAAGGCAAATAGTGATTTACGAAGCGATCCAAAATATAACCACATTTACTCTGGTACGACTCCCAGTCAATGTTCTCCATAGATTTTGCGGCTTTGTACTATATTGTCACGTTCAATAACGACTCTATTCATGAGCGGGTACTTCACAGCACAACGCAAATGTGTCTGCGATCAGGCAAATCTTCTCACCGCGCACTTGTCAGAAGTGAGCGTTTTAAAAATTTCGTTACCGTTAAGTATCAACCTGTGCAAAGTATTGTGTGTATTTGTTTATTTAGGTTTCCAGTGTGTATATTTTTAAAACTGTACCAGTAATTCAGCCTTAGGCTGCAAGTGGTCCGAAATAAACGATATTATTATTATTATTAACTCTACCTAGTCGTCGCTCCATATGAATGATTCTGGCTCGTTCCCCTCATTCTTCTTAGCTTTTTTGCCTGATTTCGACATGTTTTTAACTGTTTGAACGTAAACTGAGACATCGAATTCCCGCGGCTGCTAAATGCTGCAGCGCATGCTCGTAATCAATATATATAGAGTCATCCTGGGTACTAGAGTGAATCCGGAGTGAATCCGAATATGTGTGGACGGGCGAATTCGATTTGAATACGCTGTGATCACATAACGTGTGGACGCGGATATTTTCGTATCCGGAAAGAATAAGTTGCGGATTCAAAAATATCCGGATACGTGTGGACAGGGCCTAAGTGTCAAGGCAGACAAAATGTCGTAATTGAACAGCTGAGTTGCAATCTAAATGATTTCCGCTTATCAGAGAGTGTTCTCTTCTGTACAACATTTATAAAGCAGCGCAGTTGTATTCTTGCATTGGCATCACTTGAAAGCGTTTTCTTTTTTCCAGTTCTGAGAATTCGATGTTTTCTTTTCTTTTTCCCTTCCAACTATGTTGACTATTCAGTATATACACAACCCAAGTGTTGGAAGTACATGATGGATCTTAAACCTTAAAATCGGAGAAAATGGGTCCAATCTTTATTATTTCCATTTTGCACCTGGTATACATAGGCTTTCTCATTGCTAACTCTTTAAAGTACAAGTACTTAATTTGGTTTAATTAACAAGCTAACCTGACTTAACCTTGCCGCTTAATGAATGAAATTAAGAAGTCTTAACAGACTTCTAAAACAATTAAGTTCAATCATAAAGTACTGAAAAATGTATTATGCCCTAAAACATGGAAAATATTATGGGTTACATTTTTGAGAACCAATTTTAAACTGGAAGTTTTATTATTCTGTTTTTACACCAAAGCAAGTCAATGTTTTCTTTTTTCGCATAAGGTTTCTTAAATCATGTTTGTTTATTTCCCAAAGGATCCAATATTTGCATGCAATTAAAAAACCTTGACTTGTCGCGCTAGTTGAAATTGTAAACTAGCAATTTATTACTCTTAAAGCATCAATCTATTTATTGTTTTACCTGGCCTTAACTCAGATCTAAATAGCTTGTTTATTAAAAACATTGTGAAAATGCTTTTGTTACTTTTTGAAAAAGCTCGGTCAATCGACTCTACATCTTAACGTGATACACACCGGTGTAATTGTAAGATCTTTATAAAACTGAGTAACGACCGCAACGTGACAACTGAAATAACCATAAATGAGAAAAATTATTTAAACCTTTCCAAGTGAACGTATCTTGCAATTTGGTCTTCTGAGTGATTAATGAAAGCACAAGAACATGTACGATAATAAGAAAGTGAAATAATCTTAGGATAATAAGCTTTGTACATTTTATGTTTAAAAAAAAACACCTTTATTCTCTTTGTGTACCGAAGCTAATTGTCTTGTGTACAAATTTCAATAGCGGAGGTATGTTAGCGGTTGCTAAACAAACAATTCCTAAGCTAAGAGATGCTCACTAATCATCTGTACGCAAACTTTTTGACTAACTACGTCTGACATGTTGTGATTACCTCACGCAAAAGTGACAGTAATGTAACTAGTTCATATTTATTCAGTATATTTAAGAGTCACGGTAATTAAAGTCTGCAGCTAACTCGTAATGGAACAAAAAACATTTGGCCGTGTGGTTGTAAAACAATCGTTGTTGAAAAAAAGGGTGGATTTGTCCTACGGTATTACTAAGATGGATAGGGAGAAGAGACCCATCGTATTAAGAGGTGCTGAGAATGACACGAAACACGTATGGAATGGGGCTGTAGGTAGACCTCGCAGAACCAGTGCCCCGGCAGAACTGCCGCCAATGAAAGATGCACTGCCAAAGTTGACCGTGAACACAAGGGTACGCACACTTTCATTACGAGGAGGAGAAAAGAGCAGTGAAATGCATACAAAGCAGTGGAACACAGGTTACACAACAAACAGCAAGATCTGCGAAAACCCTTCTACTGCTCGCGCTCTTGTCGGCACAAAAATTGATGACTCACTAAAAAGACCTTTATCTGCTCTGAAAAGCAGCGACAATTCTGTTACAACATGCTGTTTGGGAATAAAGGACGACAATAATATCTTGGATTCCAGAAAACTGGCTCGCAAATGTTTGACCCAAGAGGCATTGATATGCCATGAACTAGGACTCGCAGAGATGGATGAGGACTCTGCTGAAAAGAAAAAGGACACGATCGTTCGTTGGTTGAACTCAGAAGCATTAAGTAGCAGTGATTGGAAAGGACTGGAAAAGCTTCGTGCTTTCCCTTAGCTTTATCGATTCCATAACATTTCTTTTGATACTTAAAGTCTATCCTGGAAGACTCAGTCAAATACAGCAGGAACTTTGTGATTTGTCCATATCCTGGACGCTTAAAACTGTTTACCTTCTTAAAAAGTGATATATGCCTTACAGTGAGATGTTGAACTGGCTTCGATATTTCGCAAATTTAAGCGTTTCCCTGTGATTTCTGCTCTTAGCGCGAAGAAGCGGGATTTGCGATGAAGAGCGCAAGTCACCAAAAGGAGGAGCATACGTAATGAGCAACATATATTTAATGGGGAGGTTGAATGAGTACAATTTTTTCTCTTAACAAGGTTCTTTACAACATAACAATGTAAAGCGCGCGCTCGGTTTGGTCAATACAGTGTCCACCATTTGCGCGCTTGTTTTTGTCTGGTAACGTAAGATTTATTAAATAGAGGGGAACTCTTTCGCTACAATGTATGAATGTTATGTTATAAAACAAATGGTAAACACCGCAGCGTACACTATTGAGTTATGGATGCACTTGAGAGGTTTGCTAAGCACTCAAGAAGCTAGAGTCGCTCTTGGCTATCGTCTCGTGCGACTCTTACGCTTCTAATTTCGCGCTTAGCAACCTGCTTGCATCCATAACTCAATAGTTTACGCATTGGTGCTTACCATTTGCTACTTACGGCGTGTCAGATTTGACTGAAGTAGGCATTCTCTCGTAATCGATTGTCAAGATGACCAACAAACCTCATTACCAATAATCTTAGTAGTTGTGGTATCATTGTTATTATTTTTGTTAATGTTATTATATGCAGTGAAAACTTCTGAATGCATAGAAAAATAGGGCGTGACTACGTGATTTATCTGCTACACAGACACAGAGGGTCCCCCAAAAATCACGAATATATGAATAAAAGTTCATTCAACTGAAAACTTCTCTAGAAGTCTCAGTAAGATGTTCCAATTTCATGGGGTCGTGACTTTGAACAGTCTGTTTATATTGAGAGTGGTGCTTAGTACCACTTTCTTCATTCTTTCCAAAATTTTGGTTTCCTGCTTTTCTAAAGATGCTTGTCATCTTCTCCAGATCTTAGGACCACCCACTCAGCTCATCTATAGTAATATTTAGCTGAGCGATCTTATACCCTAGGTATTGTCTTGGTAACTCCAGTCTTCTCTGTATCTTTCTTTGCGCGGTTGTTCACCCAAGGGCAGCTCATTTCCACCATGAGTAATTTCTTGATATTGTGGTCAACAGGGCGATCGTCAACTCGGTTGGCTTGAACAAACGTATGATCTGGAAACACCGACACATCTCAATAAGCTTCTGCTTTTGGTAACTTGGAGAGTGGCTTGGGGTCTGCACATGTAAATCACGGAGGAACAGTATCAACGGGCTTGAGTTGTCTAAGCATCTGAAAGAAAAGCACCTTCGGTGCAGCGATGTGTGTTTCCAAGTGCTTTGTCTGTGCTAGGCTTGAACAACTTGTCAGAACGTCTGCCAAACTTTCTGGGGATTTGCCTCACAGTCTGCATCATGATGTTGTCATTCTGATTTGATGTTCCTGTCTTGATCGCCAGGTAGACTTTAGTAGGAGGTAGCTGTTCCTATAACTCGATAACATCAGCAATGCAGTGGGTTGGGCCACTTATCCACTCACTCAGCCATGTTAAATAACCTCTAATACTGAGTTGTTCATCGTGCCGTCTCGTTTGTAGAAGACTTCCTTGCCAGGGCTGATCCTCAAGCTTTCCCGGCAACCGTCGCCTTAGATGTTTCTTTATCTGCTGTCCCTAGATCCTTGTCTCAGGCTCTTGCATAAGACTGCACGATGGTTAAGGGGAGGCCAAGTACAAGGTTATCCCCAATTCCCCTGCAAACCTATGCGCTTCACTGATAAGCTCGTTCTTGAAATTGTCGGACTTTTCTTATCAGTGGGTCTGCATACTCGTACAGCTTGATGGTAGACTTTATCTTGATCAGCTTGTACTCTTCCTCAACGGAACGTAGACCTCGCCCTTCTATTTCCCTTGGTTAATACAGAGTGGGCTTAAAGCTAGGTGGGTGTTTTCCTCCTTTTCTCGCTGGTGATCCTTATGGTCTCTCTGTCGAAGTTTTGTAACTCAGTGAGCGGCCAATGCTAGGTCCACGCAGCATATGTAATCACCGGTAAGGCAAACTGTCTAGTAGCGGTTAAAATCCGACAGGGAACCTGTCCATATCTCTGT